TGTCCCTGAAGCTTCTTTTAGAGTAGGTATTCGGGGCACTTTTTCCATTATCTTATTTCCTGGATTTTACCCCCAAGAGCCTTTTCAAATCTATTTAAGTGATCTTGGAATTTGGTCACTTTTAGATAAATTAATAGGATATCCCAATTGCTTTTTAAGAACTGCTCTTAATTTCTTTCTGTTAGTCTGTGAAATGTTAAAGGTAGTTATATTCCCTCACAAAATCAACTTGAGATCATTAAGCTATTTAATTTCTCTCCCTTCAGTTTATACAATAAAAGAGTTCTACACAGGAAAGGAAGGAGTATAGAATTGCCAAGACTTCTTTTTGCTAAATTTAGACACCTGGATTTTCTACCTTTCACTAAAAAACACATTCCACCTTGCTGAACCTTTTAAAAGGTCAATAGCCACTTTGAGAACGTTTATTATTTGTTTCAGTCTTTTATGTAGCCTTCTTTTCAAGGTTCGTTTCTCTGATTTCCTAGTAGTATACTTATTTCATGGGAAACATTTCTTTCAGAGAAGCACAAAGCCTCTTCTAAATTCTTCCTCATTCATGTCAGAGTCTGTTGGCTAGATTTTCCACTAGTTTAAAATTTTACTTTAATTTTAGATTTCCCATGATCTGTTACACTTTCATTTAGAGTATATACATTCTCCAAAATATACTTGAAATGTGGGAGGTGGGGAGAGAGGTGGGGAAAGGAAGAGAGAGGGAAAGGGAGAGAGGAAGACAGAGGAGAAAATGTGAGAAGGAGAGAGAGGGTGAGCGAGAAAGGGAAAGGGGAATATGGAAGGAGAGGGAGATTTGTTTTGGAACTTCTATGTTAGCTTTGCTTCTTTGACACTTACTTCTCTTTTTTTTTGAGAATGAGTCTTACTCTGTTGCCCCGGCTAGAGTGGAGTGGTACGATCTCACCTCACTGCAACCTCCGCCTCCCAGATTCAAGCAATTCTCCTGACTCAGACTCCCGAGTAGTTGGAATTACAGGAAACCGCCACCACGCCAGGCTAATTTTTTTTTTTTTTTTTTTTGAGACGGAGTCTCGCTCTTGTTACCCAGGCTGGAGTGCAATGGCGCAATCTCGGCTCACCGCAACCTCCGCCTCCTGGGTTCAGGCAATTCTCCTGCCTCAGCCTCCTGAGTAGCTGGGATTACAGGAACGCGCCACCATGCCCAGCTAATTTTTTGTATTTTTAGTAGAGACGGGGTTTCACCATGTTGACCAGGATGGTCTCGATCTCTTGACCTCGTGATCCACCCACCTCGGCCTCCCAAAGTGCTGGGATTACAGGCTTGAGCCACCGCGCCCGGCCTAATTTTTATATTTTTAGTAGAGATAGGGTTTCACCATGTTGGCCAGGCTGGTCTCAAATTTCTGACCTCAGGTGATCACCTGCCTCGGCCTCCCAAAATGCTGGGATTACAGGTGTGAGCCACTGTGCCCGGCCAGGGCTTACTTCTTAAAGGTGTTTCAAAGGACTCATGCTTGTTCTTAGTTTCAAATATTGTTTACTATTTGTATATTGCATTTTATATTTAAGAGTAATAACTGTCACAAAATTTTAAATAATCTCTTTATGCTTTGTAAAAACCCTTGTATCACTAAGATCGATAGGTTTTTATTTAGAAAATGTATTTATTTAGAAAATGTATATATTTAGAAAATGTATATATTCTAAATTAGCCTTCCTTTCCTCATCTCCAAATATTTGTATACTACAGAAGAGAACTCCATTACATTGTGTTCATTGTTAGAGCTCTGAAATCCTATTGCCCCAAATTTTCCTCCTTGTAGCAATCACACACAATAAAAAAGTCTATTATAACATGGCGAGTCTGTAAAGTGTGCTTCCCTCGCAGCTTATAAAGTCTGTTTATTACTCCCCCTCCTTCCACTGGAGGCTTCCTAATGCTTGGGGTGAGGAATGTGGGTGGGTGGATGGGCCAAGATGTGGAAGAACTGGGGAGAACCATGCATGTACCTACATGTATGAAAACATTTATGCTCAGGTCAATTAAATGCATTATATGATTAAAGTGATTTTCACATCCAGGATCCAAACAGGAAACAGGATGAGTCATGATGGGACAAACTCTGGATCACTGATACAAATACGGTAATTGAACCTAAAGAACACAAGATTGGCCAGGTGCCGTGGCTCACACCTGTAATCCCAGCACTTTTGGGGTCTGAGGCAGGCGAATCACTTGAAGTCAGGAATTTGAGACTAGCCTGGTCAACATGGTGAAACCCTGTCTCTACTAAAAATAAAAAAATTAGCTGAGCATGGTGGTAGACAGCTGTAATCCCAGCTACTCAGGAGGCTGACGCAGGAGAATCATTTGAACCTAGGAGGCAGAGGTTGCAGTGAGTTGATATCACCCCACTGCACTCCAGCCTGGGTGACAGAGGGAGACTCTGTCTCAAAACAACAACAACAAAAACAAGATTTTCATAAGAGCAGCAGATGACAATTGCCAAAATATCCATTCACACATTTTTGTCCAAGAGTAAGTATGAACAGATTAAGTTCAAAGTTTAGAGTAACTTAAAAACCTTTTAGGAAAACTGTATATTGGATTCTAATATGAATGAAGAGTTTCAAAATATATTTTAGATGCAGGTTTTCTAAAAAGAAGATGAGGCAGAAAATAAGTATATTACCATAAAATCAGAGAATTGAACTATGAGAATAAGGTCACTGAAAAGAAAACAACTTTCATGGGTAAGTTACATAACTCTTGTCTGCCTCATTTTACTCTTACATACATGTGACATCATGCACTTAGTGGACACACAGCATGCAGTCACTGTTAGCCATTTTGATGTTTTCTCCTCTGTGACAAGTCAGGCAATGAGTAATATCACTTGTGTTTCCCTTACCCTCAATTATAAGAAGATATTTCAAGAGATATTCTCAAGCACAGAATTGAGGCAGTAGCTGAGGGACATACAGAGTCAAGAGTGATTTTGTTTCTTGGTATTAGAAGCAAAGGAAATTCTTGGTAATGGTGTTAGAAGGAAAGTTTCTTGGTATTAGAAGCTGCTCTGAAGAGTTGGGTGGGAGAGGAGACTGGTTCTACTCTTTTTTTTTTTTTTTTAGATAGAGTCTCACTCTGTTGTCGAAGCTGGAGTGCAGTGGTGTGGTCTCGGTTCTCTGCAACCTCCACCTCCTGCCACCCGAGGTCAGGCAGTTCTCCAGCCTCAGCCTCCTGAAGAGCTGGGATTACAGGTGTCTGCCAGGCTTTTTGCATTTTTAGTAGAGACAGGGTTTCACCATGTTGGCCAGGCTGGTCTCGAACCCCTGACCTCATGATCCTTCCCCCTCAGCCTCCCAAAGTGTTGGGATTACAGGCCTGAGCCACCGCGCCTGGCTGACTGGTTCTACTCTTTCAGCAAACAAGGTGTAGACAGCTCTGGGCCAAACAAGGGCTCCACCATGAAGGAAAAAGTGCTTCTGGAGGCCGTTACTTTGGAACTTGAGTATGTTTTTCTCTTTTAAGCGTAGTGGCAAAATGGCTGAGAATTACGCAACAAAATGACTTATGTGGCCAGTGGTGCTCACACCCTGATGCCGATCTCATACCAGGGAAGCCTTGGACTACTCAGGGTTAGTAACACATTCCACGACATTCCAGAGTGGGAGAATGCTGGCCACACTTGCAAAAGCTGGAGTACAAGTTGAAAACAACTAGTAAAACAGACAAAATCACTTTTCTTTAGGAATGAGGTCAGCACTCTTTTGCACACTCATTTGTGGGGAGTTAAATATTTGGTGAAGAAAAGGCAGCCTGCCCGGAGGCAAAGCTAGAGATTCAGCCAGTGGGCATCTCTTTCCAAACCTTTGCTACCCTTCTCGATTATTTTCTGCGACATAACCCCAGTCCAGCCCTTGCTGCCTTTCTCTAACTACTTTCTCAAGGCCATGCCCGTTACAAATACACAGTGTTTGCGCCACAAGTTCGAGGTTCCTCCAGCCACAAGGCAACCTGAAGGAAGCTGTCAGGACACGGCGAGCGGCACTACACAATGACAACACACACTGCCAGCGACTGCTGAACCCCACCCCCGCGCCAGCCTCAGCAGGGAGAATGCAGGCCCGGGGCTGGCTCGACGCGGGCCAAACACAGACAATCGGGGACATCCCGAGCAGAGGCATCTCCCGGTACCAGGAGGCCGCGGGCCCTCTCCAGGCATCTCCCACCCGAAGTGCTGGGCTAGTGCTCAACAGGAAGCCCCGCGGGGGAACTTGGGCCAGTAGGCTGCCACACAAACAATTCGGGCTCAAGACCGTCCAATGACTGTCCAGAGAGGCGAAACACTCTTTGGGGTCCCGGCATCTTCCCGGGCTCGACGGAGTTTAATGCTCTAGGAGGAGAGGAACCCGGCGCGGATGCTTCACTGGCCCCCCCTTGGCCAGCCCCTTCACCCAGGGTCAAGGATGTTACAAACACGGGCAAATTCTCGCTCCAGCCATCTTTACCCCGCTGCCTTCCCCTCCTCATCTGCACCCTGGAAGCAAGTTCGGCAAAAGGCTGAGGCCAAAGTGTTTCCGCGCCCGGACTGCGCAGGCTCGGTCCACAGGGGCGACTTTCGGGGGCGAGTGCGCTGCCAGCAGCAGCGCGCCCCGGCTCAAGTTTCTGGGTCTCGGAGGCGCCTCCAATGCGTCCCAGCCACTCGCCGCGAAGAGTTAACTAACTGGGGTCGGCCCCGCTCCGCCGCCTCCAGCAGCGCCTCTCTACCGCGCACCCCAGTCTCGATCCGCCGGAACCGCAGCTCATTCCGGCCGCCGGAACCGCAGCTCATTCCGGCCTCCAGAGCCTGCCCGCGTCCCTCCCGCCGCCCTCCCGCCCTGCCGACTGGGCTCTTTGAGCGCTCCCCACCGCGCCCCTCCGAGCCCCGCCATCCTCCCTCACTTCCTCAGCTGCGAGGGGCTTCACGGAGGACCCTCAGCCCCCGCCGCTCTCCCCCCACCCCCGGAGGTGCCAGTACCGATGCCCTGGATGAAAACGAGGCCGGTGACCAGGAGCACCGGGTGCCAGTTAAACTCGAGTTGGGTCCCGTCCCAGCCGAGCCCCTCTCGGTAGTGGAGGACCCAGACTAGGGTGAAGATCACCGACAGGAAGCCGACGAGCAGCGCTGACACCAGCAGCGCCAAGAAAAGCCAGTAGCCCTCCATGGTCCTCAGCGCCGCATACTCTGCACCGCCGGGGACACAGGAACTTGGCGAGGCAGCGGCAGCCTCTGGGCAGTGGCCGGGCCGGGGTGTGGATTTCTTGGGGCAGTCTCCGCCTGCGGGGAGGGACTTTCAGGGCTGCTGGCCCTGACTGTGGGGCCCCTTGGGGGTGGACAGCTGGCCCCTGCTCAAAAACGGGCCCGGCCCCTGCTCAAAAACGGGCCCCACCCCTGGGATCACGCCGCCGCTGAGTGCGCTCACTGCGTAGTGGCCTCGCCCTCGCCCTCGCCCTCGCCCGGCATCCAAGTTCGCAGAGGGCTTCGGTAACAGACCTAGTTAGTTGCTCAAAGAGATAACTCCGAGGATTTTATACCCATCACTTTCTTTTCACCCTTCCCGTGTCTCGTCCTTATTTGTCGGGAGGCTGAGTCTGGCAGTGGTGCGCCCTCTAGGTTAAGAGAAGAGAGGGATCCGTTGGATAAAGTTATTTGTGTGCTTTTAATTGATGAACCCTCCTTAGACTCAGTGCTAGAGAATTGGCTGTCTCTAATATCAAAGGGTGTTAAGGAGAAACCTGTAGGGTGATGTAAACTAAAAATAAAATCCTAAGCCCCTCACTGACTGAACGGACTTCCATGGCCAAGCAGACCCCAGAAAAACCTTAAAGCTGAGTTTCTAGCCACAACTGGAAGTCAGGAAGTCTATCCCCTCCCTTTTGGAATTTAGACTCAACAGCTGACTAGCATTAATGTTTAAAATAGAAATCGTAAGTCTGACAGAACAGACTCTTTGTAGCAATAAGGCATTCAATTATAAACAGGACCTAAGTCACATACTCCTTACGCTTAAGGAATAAACTATGCTCTCACTGCCACAAGCTTTTTCTTTTTCTCTAGCGACTAAACAAACACTGGCTTGAGATAAGCAACATTAAAACAATTACAGCTCAGCTCGCAGACGCTGACCAGCTGAAGCTCTGTTCCACCAGCTGAACCCCTGTTCCACCAGCCAGAACTGCAACTTTCACTGGACAAGAGACTGATTTCAGAAACTTTTTCCTGATGAGACCACCAGAACCATGGACTGTTCTGGCCAGTTTACAGGGATTGTGCGCCTGTGTGCATTCACATCCTGAAAAGACCTTTTGAAGTATAGGGCCTATTTGTAATACATTTAAATGTTAAGTCTCCACCCCAAAAAGAACATGTTACATGCACGTTTTTTCAATATGCATGTGTCAGTACCACCTCCATTAATATTCATAGCTCCTCCTGTAACCTGTTACATGTGTATGTTTGGCCAAACTGTCAGCATAAAGTTCCAATCCCAACCCCTCTGCCTTCTAAGTGCTTATCTCTGGTCTTAGGCCAGAGACTGTGTTTATCAGCCTACAGAGTGGCCACCTTACAGGCTATAACCTTGTATAAGAAATAAAGTCTCCTCCTTTTTCAAATTTGTAATTTTTTTAAGTTAACAGTAAAGGCTGGGCACGGTGGCTTACACCTGTAATCTTAGCACTTTGAGAGGCTGAGGCAGGCAGATCACTTGAGCCCAGGAGTTTGATGAGACCAGCCTGGGCAACATGGTGAAACCCTGTCTCTACTAAAAAACGCATGCACCTGTAGCCCCAGCTACTTGGGGGACTGAGGAAGGAAGATTACTTGAGCCCAGGAGATCGAGACTATAGTGAGCTGATATTATATCACTGCACTCCAGTGTGGGTGACAAAATGAGACCCTGTCTCAAAACAAAACAAAACAAAACAAAAAACAACAGTAAAACGGGTCTCCATGAGCTGTCTCACACCTGGGCTTTGGGAGGTGGAGGCAAGAGACTCACTTGAGCTCAGGAGAGCTATGATCGCACCACTGCCCTGCAGCCTGGTGATAGCTAGACTTTGTCTTGAAACAAAACAAACAGCATGGGCAGTAGTGGGCTTGGCCTTACCCTGCAATGAAACTACTTGCAGTTTGCTGTTGAAAGAGGGAAGACGGGAACCTCCTGCACGTGGACTTGCCATTTAGTGTGATAAATGGATTTTCAACGTGCCCACTTTCCCGAACCAAAGCCACTCCTTGATGAAGTGACGCTTACTCCCTGCCTCCTTCCAACATTATCCTCACCCTTCCCCACTGAACAAAAGCAGTGTCAGTGTTATCTCATGCTATTAAAGAAAAAGGGTTCTAGGCCGGGCGCGGTGGCTCAAGCCTGTAATCCCAGCACTTTCGGAGGCCGAGGCGGGTGGATCACGAGGTCAAGAGATCGAGACCATCCTGGTCAACATGGTGAAACCCCGTCTCTACTAAAAATACAAAAAATCAGCTGGGCATGGTGGCGCGTGCCTGTAATCCCAGCTACTCAGGAGGCTGAGGCAGGAGAATTGCCTGAACCCAGGAGGCGGAGGTTGCGGTGAGCCGAGATCGCGCCATTGCACTCCAGCCTGGGTAACAAGAGGGAAACTCCGTCTCAAAAAAAAAAAAAAAAAAAAAAAAAAAAAACCAAAAAGAAAAAGGGTTCTGGCTGCCAGGGCTTCCAGAAGGCATTTGGGAACGTTCACTTCTAGCCTTCTTCTGTAGCTCATCTCCGAGGACTAGTTTGCCGTATTGTCCTGTTACCGTCTTGAAAGACCTTAGAATGTGCAGGAAGCATACTGGGGTGCTTTTCAAGGCCAAGGAAATAGGAGTGGCAAGTCATGGTGGTGGGGCAGGATCAAAGGCTCAGAGTAAGAGGCTGTAGACCTCACCTGTGTCATTATTTTCCCCTGGGCAACATGGCAAAACCCTGTCTCTACTAAAAATACAGAAATGCATGCACCTGTGGCCCCCGCTACTTGGGAGACTGAGGAAAGAGGGTCACTTGAGCCCAAGAGGTCGAGGCTGCAGTAAGCTGAGAATGTGTGAGTGGGACACTTCATGGGGACCTGGTTTATTGGGTTTTTGGTGGGGAGAGTAAGCAAATGGAAGAGAAGGACGCCTTCCCCCAGCACAAGGCTTTCTTTGATCTGGTCCAGCCTAGCCCTCCCCTCTAGTCCCTTACCACAACCTGACTGGCCCTGATGTCCTTGACTGTAAACTTCTCTGGCAGCTTCTGATCACTTCCTACCCACGCCCCTGCCTCTAAATTTCCCTGACCCCATCTCCACTGAGAAACCTTCCCTGAGTCTGCCCATGCCCAGACTTTTATATCCCTATTTTTATTTTTATTTTCCAGCTCTAGTCTTCCCCTCAGAGTGGGGGTAGACAGTGAACATGCCCAGACTTTTATATCCCACTGACCTCCCCATCCAATGCCTCCCTGTGTCACCTGTCAGGATTAATATAATGATCTGCTTCTATGGCTGTCTCCACTCTCAGACTGCCTTGTTGAAGGCATTGATTCTCTAATTAATCATTTTATTCCTCCTTGGCATGTAGTAGTTATTCAATAAACATGTGTTGAGAGGCTAATGGGACTGAGTGTGTCAATCAGGGTCCTGGCAGAAAACAAACAACATATTGGAATTGAGTAATTTAATAATGAACAAGAAGTTTTATGAAGTTGTGGGCAGTGTGTGGGAAACCCCAGGCCCGAAGGGTGAAGAGTTACTAGAATCCAAAGAGAAAATTGTGTGGAGAGGGCAGTCTGACAGAAGCCTTGAGTGCAGGGATGCAGCCAGCCAACAGAAACCCCACAGGGAGAAAGATGGAAGCAGATAACTATTCCAGCTTTACTCTTCACTCTGATCTTCTGCTCCAGGTCTCCCAGGGGCTAACCAGAACCTAATCAGAGACCACAGGACAGTTCATGTGGTCCGTCCCAGGTCAGCTCCCTGGGACATAGAGCAGAGGAGAGAAGAGTGAGAGCCGATCTGTAGGAGTAAATGGAAACTATCCTTGAAACTTCCAGTTTTATTTTTTCAGACATTCTTTGTTCCCGAGTGCTGCAAACATTCCCTGTTTCATCTTACACTGATTATTTTCCTCTGTGAACTTTAGCTTCTAATTCTATGGCATCATTGTATCCCTATCCCTCTCCCTAAAACTATCTAGTCTTTGTCCCCAATTAATGTTTTCACCTCCTTGACCTAACACTTTCACTCCACTCTTGAGTTAATTTTGCTTCATAGCAGCAGCAGATGAGAATCTCTGAGATTCCAGACCCCATTTAACAAAACATTTCAGGAGGATGAAAACATGGCCAAATGGTACCAATGGTATTGAATCATCTTGAAGTTATATGTAAAACTCAGAGAATTTCAACTTTTAAGTTATCTTTTAAGTACCCAACTTTGATATTAAATAAAACTGTCGCTGAGAAGGGGAACATTTTCAACAAATATTGTTGTGGCTTATTGTTAACCTTTTAATAAATTATTTTTCTTTTTGAGACAGGGTACCACTCTGTCACCCAGGTTGGAGTGCTGTGGCACCATCTCGGTTCACTGCAACCTCCACCTCCTGGACTCATCCTCCTACCTCAGCCTCCGAAGTAGCTGGGACCACAGGTGTGTGCCACCATGCGCGGCTAATTTTTGTTCGTTTGGTAGAGACAGGGTTTTACCATGTTGCTCAGGCTGGTCTCCCAACTCCTGAGCTGGGGAGATCTACCCTCCTCGGCTGCCCAAAGTGCTGGCACTGTAGGTGTGAGCCACCATGCCCACCTGTGAACTTTAAAAACAGAGTTTTTGGCTGGGCACGGTGGCTCACGCCTGTAATCCCAGCACTTTGGGAGGCCGAGGACGGCGGATCACGAGGTCAAGAGATAGAGACATTCCTGGCCAACATGGTGAATCCCTGTCTCTAATAAAAAAAAAAATACAAAAATTAGCTGGGTGTGGTTGTACATGCCTGTAGTCCCAACTACTTGGGAGGCTGAGGCAGGAGAATTGCTTGAACCCGGGAGGCAAAGGTTGTAGTGAACCAAGATCGCACCACTGCACTCCAGCCTGGCGCCTGGCAACAGAGCGAGACTTTGTCTCAAAAAAGAAAAAAAGAGTTGTTAAATGATAGAAGTTTCCCTCTGGAGATGGTAAGCAGTTTGTCACCAAAGTATCTAATCAGACTCAATAACCTGTCAGGAATGCTATTGAGTGATTCCTGACGTTGCGGGTAGGGGAGAGCATCGAAGAAGATGGCCTTCCTAAAAACCTAGATGCTAGAAACATGTTGATGCAGAATTGTTTGCCCCTGGCAGAAATGTAGAATAC